TCGAAGCTCTTTTGCTTATGTTGAGGATAACCTGATTAACCGGTTCTTTTCGATGTTTTTTCGAAGTAATTGAAGGCCTGTGATTTTATAGCAACGGTCGGGCATCCCCGAGTCGCGTTAGTTTGGCTGGTACAGCCTTGTGATAGTAGTCATTGTATTTGGTCGTAGCCTTTCAGTCCCCCGAGAGAAGTAGCTTCAGCGTCTATATCGAGGGAATGCCTTTTTAAGGGTCTTACAAGTTCGAATATATAAGATCGGGATTATGCCTTTTGTAAGGTCTTATAAATTTGAACATGCCTTACTTGAGGTCTTACAGATAGGTTACTTGGCACAAGTATGATTCATGCCTGGCTCGAGATCTTACAGTTTTGGTATTGCCCTATGGAGGTCTTACAATACTGGTAACGCCTCGTGGAGGTCTTACATTTTCTGATATTGCCACATGGATGGCTTTTCGAGCTCGAGGTCGCCCGTATGGGGTCTTATGCCCTCGGGTTCTCGATACCTCGATGGGGTGACCATCAGTGAAAATCCCCGAGATGTCGAGGGTTTTTGGCTCTGAAGCCGTTCTTTGTATATTTTTGATGTGGCTTTATTGAGGGCTTATGAGCTTGATGTTTTCAGTCCAGAGGTCTTACGGCTTCGAGTTTTTGATGGCAGTCCCCGAGTGTTCGGGAAATTTCTGGCTCTAGAGCCGTTTCTTGTAAATATAGTAAACCTCTTTGAAACGCAAGGCGTTTTGATGGTAGAAGTTATTCCATTGATTACTTGGTACAAGTATACATAGTTTTTGCCGCTGAGGGTTTGATTGTTCCATGCTGATACGGTTTTTTCGACAGTTTGGCCCGATACATCATTTTCCTATTGAGACCCTCTTTGGCTAGTCTTGATTTCTTCGGGGAGATGATCTCCTAGAGGGATGCCCCCCAGTATTCGAGGTTGATTGAAGAGAAGCCTTGAATACTTGTTGAGTTCTCCTTAGGTAGCATATAGATGTTGCCTCGTTAAAAAACCTTGTCGGTAAAACCCTTCTTGGGATAAAATCGGATCGAAGGAAAAGAGTGCAACACATGCTTTTAAAACCTAATGTCTTCAAGCTGGATGGTACTTTGATTCTTCTAACTGGACGCCTTAGTTGCGATGGCGTTTTGAGCCTCGATATGCTTCAACTACTTACCCCGGGGACGCGGTACGGTCCCTTGCTCGTTTACTTGGGTACAGCCGAGGATGTAGCTTGTGATTTCTACTTCGTTGTTTGCTTATCGTTTTGGCTTCTTCGAGAAGGTGATCTCTCGGGGGGACGCCCCCAGTATTCGGCTACATCTTCGATACTGAAGGTGTCAATGCCAGTGCCACATCGTGCACCGCGAACATCTCTCTTGCTGCATGCTGCTTTCCGTATACCATTTTTATTCTAGTCTTTGTTGGAAATTTTATCATTTGATAAAGGGTCGATGGTACTGCTCTCATGCAGTGTATCCATGGCCTTCCAAGTAAGGCATCGTATCTCATGTCTCCTTTGATGACATGAAACCTGGCATTTTGAGTCGTGCCAGCCACGTTGGCCGGGAGGGTGATTTCTCCTTTTGTTATTTCGCTCGCCATGTTGAATCCGTTGAGGACTCGAGAGGCGGCACGATTTGGTCGAGCAGTCCAAGCTGCTCCACCACCCTTGACCTGATGATGTTGGCCGAGCTACCTGGATCCACAAGCACACGCTTAATTTGAAATGTATTTACAAGAAAAGAAATTACCAATGCGTCGTTATGGGGCTGAGGTAGAACCTTGGTGTCTTCGTCGCTGAATGTGAGGGTGTCCTCGGGTATGTGACCTCAAGTTCGCTTTTCCCTGGTGATGGATATTTTTGTTCTCCTGACCATGGGTTCCTATGGAGCATCGATACCTCCGAAGATCATGTGGACAACATGTTGTGGCTAGTTTGTTTCACTCTTCTTGGTCGCCTCTCTTTCCCGGAACTGATTTTTGGCTCGGTCGCTGACGAATTCTCGGAGGTGACCTTTGCTGAGTAGTCGGGCTACTTTTTCCTAGAGTTGTCGGCAATCCTCGGTCCTATGACCGTGTGTGTTGTGAAATTCACACACTAAGTTATGGTTCCTTTGCGAAGGATCTGATTGTACAGGCCTTGGCCACATGGTGTCTCTGATTTTACCAATAGCGAATACGATCTCTGAAATGTCGACGTTGAAGTTGTATTCCAACAAGCGGGGCGCCTCCTTTGGCCCTGTGTACCTATCAAATCCAGCTCTGCTAACAAGTCCCCGAGGATTCTGTCCTCGATCCAGCCTTCGGTCGTTGCGGGGTATGTTGCGCCTTGGGACGTTTCTTCTATCTTCGATGTATGGTTGGTATCTTTCTTTGTTTGGCTTTAGCTCCTTTGTCGGGAGCCTGCTAGGATATACCAAGCCCGAGGGACTCCTAGTTGGTCATCTTCAACCCTGATCTTTGATTGGTATCGGTTGTGGACGTCCGACCAGGTCACAGCGGGATATTCGACTAAGTTCTATTTCAGCTGTTTCTAAGCTATCGAGCTTTACTCGTTCAAACCTTGAGTGAAGGCCTGCACTGCCCAGTCGTCGAGATAGGCGGTAGTTCCATTCGTTCCATTTGAAAGAGAGATACGAACTCTTGCAGCATCTCGTTCTCCCTTTGCTTGATTTGAAGACGTGTGATTTCCTTGTAGCTACCTTGATGGCACCGGCATGTGCCTTTATGAAGGAATCTGCCAGCATGGCAAATGAATCTATTGAATTCGGGGCGAGGTTGTGATACCACATCATGGCCCCCTTCGAAAGTGTTTCTTCGAACATCTTTAGTAGGACAGACTCAATCTCGTCGTCCCTTAGGTCGTTGCCCTTCACCGCACAAGTGTAAGCGGTGACGTGTTCGTTGAGGTCCGAGGTTCCGTTGTACTTCGGAAGGTTGGGTATTCTGAACTTCTTTGGAATGGGTTTTGGGGCCGCTTCCTGTGGGAATGACTTTTGTACGAAGTTCTTCGAATCTACACCCTTCAGGATCGGGGGCGCGCCCGGAATTTGATCGACCCTAGAATTGTAGGTCTCCACCTTCTTGTCGTTGGCTTCTATCTTCTTCTCGCCCGACTTGATCCTCTTTGTGAGGTCCTCGATCATCTTTATAATGGCGGTGTCGGCTACCGACCAGTTGTTGCTTGATCTTTCTGGTACCTGCTCGGCTCGAGGAGCTGTTTTCGGTGCTACCGTGCTGGGAGTTCTCTGGCGGCTTCGCAGCTGAGCAATCGCCAGCTATTGTGCTTGTAACATCTCGAAGATGACGTGAACGTTAACCCCTTGTTCTTCCTAAGCCGGGGATTTTTGAGCTTCTTGTTGATCTCCTTGGTGTATGCTCCTGTTGGTGTGGGAGCTTTATTTTGACGTGTTGAGCGTCGCGCGAGACCGCATCCACGGGAATTGGTTCTGGCGCATCCTCAGGGTTTTGTGGTGGTACACCAACACCTGGAATAGCTACACCATTTTCTCCATTGTCTTCAAGATTGTTGTTTTCCTGTGCGTTTACTGAGTTAGACATTTTGACCAGAAATCAAAGATCTTGGACAAGAAAAAGTATGAAAGATAACTTGCGTTATGTAGTAAACCAGCAAGAAAACAATCGCTATTATTTTTAGCCCCACGGTGGGCGCCAAACTATTTACCTTGAAAATGGTAATAACAATTAGATTTGATTTTGTGGTTCTAAAAGTACTTGATCTATTTTTATGCTAGTTGTTAGGCAATATATGCTAACTGAAGGATGATAACTTGTAGATTATGTAATAATCAAACCGAATGGCTGGAAATCGAGGCCTCGAGCTGGCGATACGGGGCCTCGAGGTCGAGTCGAACGCCCGGCTAAGGGCGGTCAATGAAGGATTAACAGTTATGAGAGCTGCGATGGCGACTCTTTTATGGTCAATAATGAGCAATAAATGATGAACAATTAATAGAACACAATGAATATAAGCAATAAATGTAAATAATGAGACCAAGAGAATATGTTTAAGTTTGAGAGCAGAGAATGTTCTTGCATTCAATGTAGTATGTTGTATGTTGTATCTTCCCTCTCTTCCTTTACAATGTGATGGGAGTTCCCTTTATATATGAGGGTGAAACCCAACATAGTACATGTGCATTTATTACAAATAAATGTAGCTGGCACAGCTGCCTAGCAGTCTGGTACATACTGGTACTATTCTTATAGATGTTGTCGGTTTGGACCACGTGCCTAGGGAACTTCCCGTTTATCCATGATAACCATCGACTTGTGCTGTTCCGAGGTCGGCCGTGAAGAAACTTCAAGGTTGAAACCCCGAACTGTGCCCCCGGGCCTTCGAGGCCTTTCGAGGAGAAGCTACGGGAGGACATAATGATAGTGAAATCGGGCTCTCCGATTTTAGCCATACACAGCTATACCTCCTTCCTTCCCTGTGGTTGACTGTTTTTTCTTCCTTTTTCCATACTTCAGGAGGAAGAGATCGCTGGGTTCAACTTCCACTGGTGATGGCGATTCCTTCTTGAAAAATGGTTTTTGAAGGAAGGAATAAGATTAGGCCTGAAAGTTCATTGACAGTAGTGACCGCTGGACAGACCGAATAATATAGGCGAAATACATAAACAGCCTCTTCAAGTTGTCCACAACGGTCAGTTGAACACCTCAACTGAGACTATTTCCAGTTAAATACTTCAAGTGGCTATTAAGTAGGTCAAGTAAACACCTGAGTACAGCAGGCCATATGCGTGAGTTGCACTTGCGGATGACATGGCAAATGAACCAATCAAAAAATGATATGTGTAATTTTGCCATAAGAATTTGACACATATAATTAACAAAAAAATATATTTAAAAAAGAAAAAAAATTTATCCTAAACCAGTTCCTCCTTCCCTAACTCTTCTTCCAAGCTTTCTCAAACCCTTCCCCTTACTCGTTGAACCCATGACCACCATTTCATCTGCAAAAAATTGGGCAAAGAAAAATTTAGATTGAACCTTGAAGGTGATGAAGATTAATGGCGAAATCTTGAAACTGAAAACACCAGTAACAACGTTGGACGTAGTAAAAGACTACCCAGGTCATGTTTTACTGGAATCAGAAGCAGTGAAGAAGTTTGGTGTCAGAGCTAAGCCACTGAAACCGGAAAAAGAACTGAAGCCAAACAAAATATATTTCCTTGTTGAATTGCCTTCATTTCCTAAAGAAGAAATTAGTAGAGTTCCAAGAAGAGTGAAATCGGTTGTTCAGATGAGTGCAAAGGATCGCCTCGAGTGTCTCATGTTAACACGAAGATCGGCTTCTGATTTGTCGATTTCGAAGCTGAATAATGGACCGATTCAGTTGAAGATGAAGCTGCCGAGGAGTTTAGTTCAGAAGCTGGTAGAAGAAGGGGAAGTAAAGATGAAGGTATGTGGGTCCAAAAAAATAAAGGTTATTTTTTAAACTGAAAAAGAAAAAGAAAAGAACACAATTCATGTCCTCACGCGCTCAATTTGTAGTGAGACACAATTGATTTTCCATGTCAGCGCAAAGTGTTTACTTGACCTACTTAATAGCCACTTGAAGCGTTTAACTGGAAATAGTCTCAGTTGAGGTGTTCAACTGACCGTTGTGGACAACTTGGAGGGGCTGTTTATGCATTTCGCCAATAAAATATATATATATATATATATATATATATATATATATATATATATATATATATATATATATATATATATATATATATTCATGGATTATACATATATTATTTATCCATCGATTATTTTTAATTTAAGCGGTTGGATGAACGGCTATTTATATTAATTTCTCCTATTTGTTTTATATTTGGGCTTCATGTTTTGTATGTTTGAAATTTTGAACCCTGTTCAGAATCTGGAAAATTATTTAAAGCCACAGTTCAGAGCCTGGGATTCATATATATATATATATATATATATATATATATATATATATATATATATATATATATATATATATATATATA